CGCTAAAATGGGTCCCGGGGATCCCCGGTAGACTTAAACCGGGGTCGGGGGCTGTTACTCAAACCGATAGACTTAAACTAACATATATTTTTCATGAGATTTGACCGATGACAAAATGTTAATCCCCGTTACTTGCCGCGACCGAAGCCGGGGCTAGGGGCTGTTACTAAAGACCGGGGTCAGAGTCGGGGATTACAAAACCCGCCCCATCTCCACCCCGTTGTCATGCCTAGTGAAACCAATGTGCCTTTAGTCAAACCTATATGTTGTAGTGATGGGGCAAAAATCGAGGAAAATGAGTCGAATGAAACCAAAGTTTCATGTTCTGTTCTGAATTATTGACGTTAAAAATAATTTTATTAAATTTTTTAATAAAATATTAAATATTTATTCTAAACATTTAATTTAAAAAATCTTTATTGATTTAGAACAATATAATAGAGCAAAAATTTAGTTGAAAACCCATTTTTTTTATTTTAAATAATTTATTGGCCATATTTTGATTATTAAATGATCATTTATTTGGAATAAATAAAAATATATATGAAAATATAAATATTTATTTTTAAACACGTTGAAAATTTTATGAGATAAATAAACGATAACGAAAATCCCAAAAAACAAATCCATTTAAAAATAAACTAATAAAAATAAAAAACAATAAATTGAAAAATTAATAACACGTCATCACCCTTGATTCTAAGAACTGAATGCAATCAAATAAACGAAAGCCGCCATTAACGCCGTCGCCAAAAGCTCGAAATTGATCGCTACTTGAGTCRATGAATTCTTCGGTGGCGGCGCCGGAGCAACATGTGGGGTGGAGATCTCCGGCGGTGATAACGGAGACTCTTTCACCAGCGATGGCGACGGAGATTGAAACGTCGGGGATTTCACCAGCGATGGCGACGGAGATGGACCAGATGGCGGTGGATAGGGGAACGGAAGTGGCTGTATCGGGGCGGAGCCACCATTGGAGATCGCCGGAGGAGGGTAGTTATATTCGGCGGAGCTTGGCACACGGATGTCGACTTTTTGACCGGCGGCACAGTGGCCGGGAAGTGTGCAGATGAAGTAATAGTGGCCGGGAAATTCAATTGGGAAAATGTCGTTGCCGGAGGTGTAGGTGTCGTAAGAAACGGTGCCGTTGCACGTCAGATATCCGTTGTACGGAACTCTCACCACGTTTTGGAAATCTTTGTTGAATGTAAAGACTACAAAATAAATACATTTAAATTAATAAATTAATTTGTGGGCCACCGTACAAATGGATTAGAGTTAACTTTTGAACTGTTTACCAAATTTTTTTTATTATATATGAGGTTTTTTCAAAAACCCAAGGGCATTTGTGTTTTTTTTTTTTTTTTTTTTCTGAATATGGACAACAACACATATCCATCTTTTCGAATAAGTCATGGACTATATGAATAAGCTCCAAATAAACGCCCTATTTTGACTGTGCAAATAAGTCGAAAGCCCAATTAAGCTATTAAGTCATAAGTAAACAATCTCTTAGCAAATTTGCAGATTTATTTTCTCAAACATTTTTTGTCTGGATGATTGACACCATACAAGCCAAAACAAAGAATATTGGCTTTATAGGTCATATTCAGATTAAACGTTGATTACTCGACACCAATGTGATGAGAYATTTTTTTAACTCAGTCAACAGTCGAGGCTAGCAAATAGTCAAAAATCATACCGGAAACTTGTCTTATATTTGGACAAAATCACCCTATCCCTTTCAAACTAAGGGCATGATTTTATGGGACATATTTTTACATATATTTACCGATTATCAATTTCTGAAAWATWKTKWTTRWRWTTMAAMTTMAWCTKAWYCWKWTCSA